GGGGGGGGGGCGGCGTGCTTCTGGTGCCCATGTGGCTCACCTTCTCTGCCCTAGGAGCTTGGGATGGCAGCAGGCAGAAGGGGAGCTTCCTTCCGGGTGCTGGGACCGGCTCAGCTTCTCTGCCCTAGGAGCTTGGGATGGCGGTGGGGGAGCTTCCTTCCATGTTAAAGGAAGTTTTGTGTTGTGTGAATATGTGTACACAGACACTGTTTGTCTGTTGTATATAACTCATCAGGATTGAATTTTAAGGGATTAAGGATAGTTTTTCAAGATAATGATTCACTGTGACTTTTTCACATGCCTGTTGTTGTTTTTTTCTCTCCCTCCAGGGCTTTTGTGTTTGTGGTGGACAGTGCATCTTTCCAGCGAGAGGTGAAAGACGTGGCAGAGTTTCTGTATCAAGTCCTCATAGACAGCATGGGTCTGAAGAACACACCATCATTCCTAATAGCCTGCAATAAGCAAGGTGCTGTCATGTTTTCTGGCAGAAATAACTGAGTTTTTTGGGGGGGTTGCTACTAAGAATTAGTTCAGTTACCTGCATTTGTCATTATTGAGGATAGAAACAGTTGTGATGAACTGTAATTTGAAGGATTTTAAATCTGAAAATCTGTTTCTGTTCCTTTTCACTAGTCTAAGGATTGACAAGAGTCCTATTGATACAGTGCTTTTTATTTTATTTTTTTAAGTTTATAAATTATTTTACTTTCCCAAATTAAATTTGCCAGAGTGGACAATATGTCATATCGGACACACAATTTTGGAGTACAAGGGTGGAGTCTCTCCTTCCAAACAGGTTTACCATTCAGCAAATTTTAACAAGGGGAGTTTGTTTCCCTTTAACCTGATAACCACTGAGAAGTTTCAAGTGATACACAATTAAACTGGGTTTCAGTTCTATTACGAATAAGCTAGAGTAGTCTCTTCAGGTCTCTTTCACATCTAAATTTCTGATTCTATGAAGAGCCCAAAGCATTTCCCAGAAGTGATCAGATAATAATAATTACACCTAATCAGGGATGCACCTACTAGTATCACTAGCAACATTCTCTGTTTCTCTTATTTAGTATAAGGAAGGGAATTAATGTCTATTTGGCCTGGGCTTTTTGCCAGACTAGCCTTATTTCTTACCAGTGGTTTACTTGATCATAACATTTCATCTCAGTTATCAGCTGGAAGCATGCTGGGGTTACTTTTAAAGGACAGGCAGGGTATTGTCTATTGGAGTGAAAGTTCTTATGACAGTCACAGTGCTGGTAAGGTTTTTGTTAAACTTACTGGATATATATATATTTTGAATTGAAAGTTGTTTAAGGCATGGAAAACTTCAGTTTAAGGATATCAGCATAAGTTTGTAAGCATTATTTTGGAAAAACCCATATGTGCAAATAAAAACTTAATATAGAAGAAATAGTAATTAAAGGTCATTTTGAAAATGAATGGAAAAGAACTTCCTGGTTCAAATAGGAATTTTCTTTCTGTGTAAGAAATCTTGGGAGAAAACTCAATTTGGTTTAAATTAAAACAGCACTTTTCTTTCTTTATAGATATTGCAATGGCAAAATCAGCAAAGTTAATTCAGCAACAGCTTGAGAAAGAACTGTAAGTGTGAATGGAGACCCCTTGGATAAATTTAACACTTAGACCTTAAGCAGCATAATCATGTATCTTTTGTTTGGTTATATATGATTGTCATAATTATCATGAATTAATTTATCAATGAATCAATTACCTGAAGAGTGTGAAATATACTTATTAAATAATTAAAAGAATTAATGGAATTATAAAAAGTGTTAAGTATTATAGATACTTTAAAATGTCATTCAAAGCTTTATTAAAATCATTGGCTCAATTTATTTTACCACTTATTTATAGTTGAAAGGTTTTAGAAAGTAAGTTGAAAACTATGAATAAAACTGTGCATCACTCTGTAATGCATGTAAAAGTGTGTGAAGATGCATATAAAAATAAAACCTGAGGGTCAGGAAGTAAAGAAAGTAAAAGAATTTTAAAGCCATTAGAAATTATTATTGACAGAAGAAGAAAAGAACACTTGGGAAGAATATAAAAATCTATGATACTTTTTCCTAGCTTCTTATGTTGTTTTAAAGCTATTTGATAGTATTATTTATCCTGCTTTATTTTTTAAAAATTGTAAATTGAGCCATAAGCTTTTAAATTTTAAGGATAAGCATAATGTGTCTGTTATGCTATTTTATAAGAACTAGACAAAAGCGTGCTTAGAAGAAATCATCAGCATTGTAGTAAAGCAAGTTATCTTTTCTTACCACTTTTGTATAAGGACTTTTTTTTTCTAAAGAAAAAGACCTGATGAAGAAGATACTATATATATTCAGCTTTTAAAACATTTTATTTACTTCTTTCTTCCTTGAATAAACCCCTAATGGTGCATCTAGTATGTGCCAGGCCCTGCTCTCGGAGGAACTGTGGTGGAGTTCCTGTGCTCAGGGACTAGTCTGGTAGGATCTGATTGACTCCAGGCAGGGGCAGACTCCTGCCAAGGGCCTGCAAGCTGAGTAGTTTGATATTTTTAAAGGCAGGTTAAAAAAAAGAAAAAAGAAGGAAAGAAAAACAAGCAAGAGACCATGCGGCCCAGAAAGCCCAAGATACTGTATTTCTGGCTCTTTATAGAACAGTTCTGATGGTTCTTATTCCTTCTGAAATTTCATGTCTGTTACCTCCTCCTGATGCTCCCTCTTAAGACCATATTTATTGCTTGCCATGGCTAAGAACATGGAAATGCTTTATTTTGTAAGAAAGCCAGTTGGCAGCATGTATTCTCTGCTCCTTGGGAACAGAAAGGGTCAGCAAATGTGTTGCTTATGCATGTTTAGTAAGCCCAGCAGGGGGCAGTAAGGCAACATAAATTGGGAAAGTTGCAGAGTTGAAGAGGTTGGAGAATAGTAATTGTGCCACATTAGATGAGAGTATGAAGTTTGTGAATTTGTAAGTTCTATATACAAATGGACTAAAGATAAAAATAAATACACTGTTTATCCACACTTTCAGAAATTTAAGTTTTTATAACACTTAGCAGTGTATTAAAATGGCATCACTCAGGAGAGCCTAGTAGAAGGAGACCCTGGGCTAAAAGGGTTGGTGTGATCTGGGTCCACTGCTGCCCTGTTGTCCTCTGGCTGATAAGGTTGGACCCACATCTGGTTATGTACATGGTTATTCAACAGCCTTAATTGCATAACTGACAGGTTTATGATTAAGTCTTCATGTTAAAATATTAGGAGCTAATGATTTAATTGCTGGATAAAATTTTTGGTTCCTGACTTGTTTTCCTTTTGTCCCATAGCAACACCTTACGAGTTACCCGCTCTGCTGCCCCCAGTACACTGGACAGTTCCAGTACTGTCCCTGCTCATCTTGGAAAGAAAGGCAAAGAATTTGAGTTCTCACAGTTGCCCCTCAAAGTGGAGTTCCTCGAATGCAGTGCCAAGGGTGGAAGAGGAGACGCAGGTTCTGCAGACATCCAGAACTTAGAGAAATGGCTGGCTAAAATTGCCTGAGGGGCAACTCCGGAGCACAAGCTATGAGTGTGTGTGTGTGACTGTGACTGTGGGACTGGCAGTGTTGGAAGAAGAGCTGTGGTAGTCTGGAGTTGAAAAGGGTACAAAATGTGGTTAGAAACATTTCCTTGTCCTGAAAACAAATTACTATTCATACCAGCTTGGAAGTTTTTTGTTTTAGTTCCTTTCTCTGATTGCTCCCTTTCAAACAAATCCCTTTTATTTAACTCTAACATTAAGTGTTGGTATTAAGTGTCCCTTTAACATGTGCTTGATTTAAGGTCAAGGTCTTTGTGATGTAACAAGCAGACTTCACATAGAGGATACTGTCAGGACATGGTTATTTTCTGAAGTTTTCTCATCCTCAATTTCTGTGCTTTGGTCTCTTTCCTGGAAACAAACTGTCTATTTATGAAGCCAGTTGATTTCCAGTTGCCCCTGGGCAATACATTGTCTAGTCCTTAGTCAGTTCTCAGATTTATAGGTAGAGTTAGTTGTCCCATGTGTGAAAACAGGTATGAAAGAGCAAGATAGAGTTGACAGTGGGTTCTTAATGGGCTCACTGACTTGTCCGCACTCCAGTCTCAGCACTCACATTTAAAGGCTGGAACCCTTGGTGGTGTTCCCAGGTGATAGAATTAAAAATGCTAAATCCTCAAATGCCTCTCCTGTGTTCTGGGGATGTGGGAGCTCTACAGACACCCTTTGATTCTGTGGATGGCCTCGGGCTCCTGGCTCCACTTGCTGCCTGATCAATTCCTATTTTGTACCCTTCACTAGAATGCTGTGTATCGAGAAATGTAAAAAGGGTTTTTTGTAGATTTTGGGGTGTGCATTCATGCTTTAAAAAAAAGTTGCCTTTTCAAAGTGATGTTCTTTCTGTCTTAAGTATTTGGCTTTTTTATTGCTTTTGTAAGTGGTTACTACTTTTCTTGATAAATAAAATAGGCTTTCTAGCTCTGAGCATTCAATAGAATAATACAGTAAAAGCAGGTGTTGGGATTCAGGCCTAACTGTTTGAGCCTAAAGATTGCAGTATACACCAGAGCAGACTCTCCTGTCCCCATCTCATGCACTTGGGTTAGCCCCGTAAAGCCAGGGGATGTGGGAATGTGAAAAGCTAGTCATTGAACCCCAGCATGGAAGGGTGCAGGTGTTCTGGGAACACACAGGAGTCCACCTAGCCTGCCCTGAGGAATCAGGCCCAGTCAGAATACCAGCATAGGCTGGGAATATCTGAGAGAGTGTAGTCTCGATATACGTAAGAGCCCAAGCCTCAGTCAGCTGTCACAGGTCCCTTCCTGTGGGCCAGGTGGGCTCTGAAAATACCATTGCCCATCCTGATGCAAGTGCTTCAGGCTGCGCACCCCAAAGCAGTATCAACTACTGCAGGTACAGGGTGATAAATGCACTATAGATGGAGAAGTCATCAGACCCTGTCCCTATCAATTCTTACTTGAATCTACATCACTGCTAGTGTTCCTACTGTCTTTTGGACTCTATTTGTCTCCTTACTAGGGGGTAACTTAAGAGAGTAGGTGAGAACAATAAATCAGAAATCAGAAAGGAATGTGAATGACGTTCACATGACAGTAGGTGCTCATGTGAATAAAAACCAATGGCATGATGCTTCTGTGGAGAGGCATATGCTCTTAGCTTTGTATTTTCTGGTTAATATGTTTTTACTTTGCTAGAAGAAGTAATACACTAAAAAAGTGCGGAATAGGAGCAAGATTGAAGTTATTCAAGGCCTGCAGATGATCTTCAAAAGCAAAGCTATGTCTAGACCAGTGGATCTCAAATGTTAGCAGCTAGCCAGATGTGGTCCACCACACCTTAGTGTAAACTCCGTCATGGTCTCCCTGGACCCCTGAGCACTGTGAGCCTCATAATGCCTTCACCATTGCCCTTGTCCTGCTGTGCCGGCCCTGTAACCCATGCAGGCTGCCATGTCTATTCCTGTAGCCTCTGATAGTGCCTCCTGGGTGCCAGTGTTCCCCTAGGTCCTGCCATGTTCCAGGCACTCACTTGGCTGTGTTCATTTGACTTTAATATTGGTAAAATTTGAGTTTAATATACAGTCACCTCCACTTTTCTACAGTGAGGAGGAAAATCATCCTGAGCATACCTGCATGCCATACTGTACTTTTTATTTTTGGGGGTTTTTGAGACAGAGTCTTGCTATGTAGTTCAGACTGGCCTTGCACTATGTAGTCCAGGGTGGCCTTGAACTTGTGGTGATCCCTCCTGCCTGCCTCACCCTTAAGTGCTGGGATTACAGGCCTATGCCACCACACCTGATTCATGCTGTGCACTTTAAGCAGAGTATTCACAAATGTCATGTTTACAACCGTATCTGGGGAACCCCAAATGTTTCTTTAGCCTGTCAAGGGCCAGGGCCACTGGGCAGCTGTGTCAGCACTGTGCCAGAGCATTCGCTTCCTTGGCAGTGTGAAGGCATGTTCTCCTGAACACCATAATCATGCGGAAGTACTGCTTATCTTGCAACAGCTTTACTCTGGCCTTCTGGCCCATGAAGCATCTATTCTGGCTCTCAACCCTCTGTCCTTGATATTCCTCTGCCGGCTCTACTTCACACTACAATTGGAAGACAAAAAAATGAGGCTTAGTGGGCAAGGAAATTATTTCCTTTCCTTTCTACCTGAAATAGCCTCTTTAAGGTAGCAGACTGGAGGGTGTTCTAGAACCTTCAAAACCTTTAATAGGGGAAATGTAGCTGGCACAGTTAACCTAAAGAGAAGATTTCCAGCATCCTCAGGGCAGGGTGATTGTGTGCCTGATCTTGGTCTTTGAGTCTTTGGAATTGGCCCCAGAACTAGAGTAGTTATTACCTTCTAGTCTGAGACCTGGGGCTTCAGGGATGTTCCTTCACTGGTGTGGGGTGAGGCTGGACATGACTGTGTGGCTGGCTGGTGTCATCTGAAAGGTGACGTAATTCCTCTTAAGTTCTTGCCTATCTGGAAATCAGGACAAGCCATCCAGGTGCAACCTTCATAACCCCCAGCTAAGACAGGTGAGAATGGGAATGATGGCAAATACACACGAGTCCTGGTTCTGCCTAGAGCCTTCCTTTCCATCAGCCATTAGGCAGATGAGATTCTGGGGATGTGAGTGGATGTGATGTCACTAGTGTGTCCTGCCTTACCCCTTCAGAACATGGAGACCCAGGCAAGCAGAGGAAGATACAAAGGGCTTTGAGTAGGGGACGTACCGCCCAGACACCACAGGGTTTCTGTGGAGCGCACACTTGAGAAAACATTTTTGAGCTCCTTCCCCCTTATGACTGCACCACTTAGAAGCATCAGACAGGACAGGCTTTGTGTCGAGAATTAGGACAGTTTATTGTTTGACCAACATGCTGAGTCTTTTCCACATTTTACACAGTTTAATGTAAAGTCAATATGGCCGCTATGCCTTCTGAGCCCATAAGAGACAGAAATGCCACCCTCTGTGCTCCTCATGGCCAATCACTTTAAAGGTATGGGTGAGGGGAAAGTGAGGGGAGAAGTCGACACACACCATGAGATGTGGGTTGGCCTTCAGTGCTAAGGAGGCCTCCTACTTGAAGGGACATCCGAACCCCTGCTGCAAGGTGTTCCTGATACCCCATACCCTGCTGGGAATGTCAACCAGATGGGTCTTAAGCCCAGAAAGTTTGCACATTGCACATTACGATAGCTAATTTCAAACAAATTCAAAGGGTAGCCTGATCTGTGTGGGTGCCTAAGATAACCTAAGTAGACTTGGGGACTGGCTCTTCTTCATAGTGGAGGAGCCCAAAGTAGACCTGTATTCTCTCCTAGCTTACTCACATGCTTGGAAGAAGCGTCTATCCTAACCACAGAGCAGAGAGCGACTCACAAACCAACAGCAGTCCTTTCCACAGCAGTCCTTTCCACATCAGTATGCAGTTCCATCTGTACACTGGTCAGCAAAGGACAAAGAATGCCACCACCCTGCTTCTGATCACTCCTGACTTGCTGGGTCTTGGTTCTCTCACCTGTGAGACAGGAAGGGTTATGGGACCTCTATCTCACACTATGGCAAGCTGACAATCCCTCACGTTCTATAGGGAGAGGTAGTTTGGAAACTAATGAGCACACAACCCTACGTGGCTGCTGCACATAGTCCTGTCCGGCCGCCCCTCATGCTGCTCTGACTTGCTCCACAGGTTTGGCCTCCTTGTCTCCTCTCCTGACACCCTCACTTGCTTTCCATCTTGTGAAGGAATGAGGCTGCTCTATCTGCAAGACACCAAAGCGAGCAGTGCCATCCTTTATTGTCACAACTAGTACTGAAGGACTCGTGGTGCTGGCTAGCCACTGGGTGGCAGTGACTGCACCCCAGATGCTTCCACCTTTAGTCCTCATCTCTGCTGCCCAACACACTTGAACTCATCTGCCCACTGCTTCCCTCGGGAACACTGAAGAATGTTTAAGGATGGTGACAGGAAGAGGATGGCAACAATGACAGAAGCAAGGGCTGTGACCAAGGGAAAACTATAGCTAGCAGGCAGGCTAATCTTGGACCACAGAGCTGCAGCTCTAGCATGCTGGATGCTGATGTCCACCTTCATTTCGGCACACATGTGCCTTTGTAAATATGCTATCTGCCTTTCCAACCTCCACCTGTTCTAATGTGGAATAGGAGCTTTTCTGACCGCTTTTCTTTGAGACCCCTAAAAGAAAAGAGGTCCCGAAGAGGATCCTGCTTATCTGCCAGGTCAGGTCTAGTCTTTGGGGAGAGGGACTGAACGACTAAATCGAGATCATGTCCTGAAAGAAATCCTCCACTCTGTTGCCTATTAACTCATGTGGTCTCAGGAAGGAGGCATGACTCTTGTTGGGGATGTGGAGGCAACTTCATGACATCTCCAAGAGGAGCTGACCATTTTATTATTAAACCTTAACTCTAAATCAAGGCCCTACCCGCAAGCAAGTGGGCAGTGATGGTGCCTATTCAGGATGGGAATCAAGGAGCCAACACACTTCTGTGAAGGAGGTCTGTCCGGCTCCCTTAAGAGACCCTAGGAAGGGAGGGGTGGCAATCAGACCAAGGAGAGGAGGGCCAGGGAATGGCAGGGCACTGTGGGGTAGGAGGACAAGAGCAGGCAGTACTCTCACCCACTGCTGCTACAGGGCTTGGGAGAGCCTGTTCTTGGGAGAGGATGTTGTATCAAGGCTGGGAAAAGCAGGACTCACTAAGGCCACATCAAGCCATATGACATCTAGCACCTCATACTGATCCTCTCTAGGTCACAGTGGAAAAACAGACTATGGTGCCATGGACTGTACAGAAGAGAAGGGAACTGAGTTTCTACTTTGATTTATAGGACGTTTTAAGAAGAGCTACTCTCCAGTCTAAGAAAATTTAAATCTACCATACATTCATTCTCTAAGACACAGTGCAGATTGCTGTCCATGGGGCTGTCCCGGAGGCTGTAAGTGATGGCCCTTATGGCCAACCAGGCCAGACAATGTAATGTGGACTCCCATAAATTCTCACGAGGTAAGTAAGCACTCTTCCAACAAGCACCACTTGGGGGTGTGCTCGAGGTGGGGGGACACTGGCCCACACAGGCATGCACACCCGTGAATATAAGTACATAGAGAGGTGGTGGAGATACTTCTGTGGGCTAATTTTGCCTGTAGTTTAACACACCTATGCATTACTTTATTGATGGCAAGACAATCACAAATTCTTTGACAATACTGAGTATTTCTTATTTCAACACGTTGCAGTACTTTTGAATTTCCGAAACTTTTTCACAAAGCAAGATCCAATTTGAGAGCAGGAAAGACAAGACTATACATTGAGCACATCTATCTCTGTGTGAAGATGTGTTTGTGGAAGGTGTATACACAAGTCTATATATAATTATGTACACACATATAAAAACTAAACACAACATTTAAATTATGCTTGTACATTGGTCTTTGCCTTCCAGAGGAGGTGCCTGCTGAATCCTGCTTCCTCTCCTCTTCACCTGAAGATAAATTCCTCTTCAGAGATCAGCTCTGACACAATCTCCCAGGCTGAAGGCATGTGGCAAGCCTACTGCACAAACATTAGCTCTGCCATTTTAAATTACTGGCTGCCATTTTAGATTATTTTCTGAGAAGTTCCAAAGTCCATTCTAACAATCTTGTTAGATTGCCACACCTCAGAAGGTACTGTAGCTCATCTATAACATACCCTTGGCAGCCTGAAGGAAGAGCCAAGGCCAGCTGGGTGGGAAGGGGTTATGTTTTGGTCAGTCACAGCCTCCTGCCAGACTTTGTACAGGCTTAGGGGTGTAGAGTCTGGGTCAATTTGGAATGTTGGCTGAGTTATAATACACAGAAGGGAAGGTTCTCTTCAGGGATTTGACAGGTTCTGAGGATAAGCCATTCTCAGGAAGGAGTCAATGGGGCAAGTGTGGCTTTCTGTGGCCTGGGCAGAGCCCAGGACCCTGTGCAGCCTTCTGGAAACCCCACCTTAGACCTACTTCCAGGTGCCCACAGTGTAACCACAATATCCACAAAGGTACACGCACAAAGATTTCAACTGTACCATGTCAATGGCTGAAAACATACCGAGAAATCAGATGTGCTCTTTTCCAGAACACTACTCAGCAGTATTAGCAACTGAGGATCTGAGAATATGTGTCTTTCGAGGTGGCGGTTCTGCAGACAATCCTCCCCTCCCCAGCCACAGAGGGACCAATAGCATGTAGTACAGGCTTCAGCATCCCTGACATGCCAGGAGAGGGCTTCAGGGTGACATGCCGCTCAGCATCACACATTGAATTTCTGAGTCAACCCAGCTGTGTCTGCTGACCATTGGACAGGTTGGTTAGAAGATCTTGGAATTACATGGGGCAGCGCAGTCTATAAGCCACATATTACCACAGCCTGCAGTTGCCAACGGCACCCGTCCTTCCTCTGACCTCTTGCTCTGCTGGTCACTGGGCAGGCACAGAGAACACAAGCTGCCTCTGCCTCCCAGCCCCTTCATGGCTTTTTAGGGGAGGAAAGGGAGATGCAGAAGCAATCTTCCAGGGCCTGCTGTGGGCTTCCTACAGTCCGCGAGGTGTTTGTTTCAGCTCAGGGCCCTGCTAATGTTAATGTCCTGCACAGCCCATGGAAGGCCTGAGCAGTACTGCCTCTCTGGAGGCTGTTTTGTTCAACCAATGTTTGATTTCATCATTCATGGGCCTGGATGGTGGGGCCTGGTTGGTCTGGGCCAGATGCCCCAGCCAGGAGCCTAATTATGTTGCTCAGTTAATTGCTTTAATTTACTGGGCTGGGATGGGAGGAACGAAGAGGTGATGAACAGTTCAAAGAGAACAGGAAGGAGGGGTTATGTGGAAAAGGTTCTCTGTAAGTTTACAAATATACAAAAACAAAAAGCACATCTTTCAAATAAAAATGACTACATTTTTATCTGGCAAAAAGTTGTATACACATGATTTAAATTTTTTTTTAAATTTTAACAGTTTTTGGCAATCTTAATAAAGTACAATATATTACAACCAAACCAAAAATAGTTGTTTAAGTAACAGCTGTTAAGAGTGATGTGATCCCTGATGCCCAGCCTCCCTCCCTATCCCACCCTACTCCTAGAGACAGAGAGAAAAGAAAAATCCTCCCATCTTGGTAAACTTGTTTCCCACCCCCGTTAGGAAGCTAACCAATAGGAAGCAACACAACAAGCGAGTAGTGTGTAGGAAGCCATGGGTCAGGCTCTGCATTAGCAGGAGCAGCCACCCTCACTGGCCGGAGGCTCCTGGGGTTTGTCCAACTTGATGTCGATCACTATAGGAGGTTGGGCTAAGGAAGACGACTCTCAGAGAAGCTGCCACATGCCTCATGCCCTGCCCTGTGACCCCTTAAATTGCTGCTCTGTCCCTCTGCAAACACAAAGGGACTCAGCTCTTCGCAGGGCTGCAGTGGCAAGGATGTGGTCACCAGCTCCCACCTTCTCCTCTTCCCCTACACACCCATCACCTCCCAACCCTTGTCCACCACAAGCAAAGCTTGTCCTGGGCTGTGATAGGACATCACCATCGACAACACAGGACAGGGAGCCCCCATCTTAGAAGCTTTCCCTGGTGACTAGGGCTCAAGGGCCAGTGCACAGCCACAACCTCCACCCTGTCATCTGTCTGTCCTACCCTGAAGTCCACTGGACAGGAAGTGCCCAGAGGGTCAGGTGTGGGTGCTCCCATCTCAAATCACAGGGGAAAGTGAGCCTTGCCCTAGTTGGCAGCAGGAACATCAAACCCTTAATCGTTTGTTAGGGCATGCCACTTAATCTGAGCACAGCTGTGAGGAGTCACATCCATGGAGCTTTCTCTCCAGCCCCTTTCATCAGCACCCTTGGGGCCTGTGGGAATAAGTTCAAAATGCACAGCCAGACTATTCCCTCTGCCTCCTCACCAGGCTGAAAGCCCAGACTGAGATTCAGCCTTGCACGGACCCAAGTTCTAATTGCACCTGAGGACTAAACCTTTGGGTAGTTCTTCCTGCAGTGGGCTTTGGTGCCTGTGTAGGATCTGCGCTGGATGGGGATGGTAGGGTGGGGTGGTGTACCAAGCACTCCTATAGGACTTGATGTTGACATCTCAGGGATATTTGGATGTCCCCTATCTGAGGATATAGGAGAGATTCTTTTGGCTTAAAGTATCATGAAAAGACATGCATCTCCTGAAGTCTACATTGTTCCTCCTTGCCTTGGCTATGAGGAAGCTTAGAACTAGTATTTTAGCCACCTCTAAAAACCACTCAGAAGGGGATGTATTTTGGGTATGGCTTTTCTTCTCGCACGACTTTATCTTATTTGTGTGTATGTATATATGTGTACATATATACACACATACTTTTTATACCATGGTGGAGTATAAGTGAATAAGTAAATAGGCAATAAACAAATGCTTTCTTTCCCACCTCCCGCTACAACCCAGTGTGGTCCTCTCCACTCCAGTGAACTGGTTCTACTCCTCTACTCCCTTGTGTTTTTATAAACAGAATGCCAAGAATGCCCTGTTGCTGCTCTCTGCCAGCTGTGAGTCAGTGGCCCCAATAGGCCCAATAGGCTCCAGTCCCCGACTGTACTTCCAGTGTTGGCATGGGCCTCTCTGGAGCCTCTTGGTCCTCTCCAGGTGCCCCCTCTGAGCCCACCTACCCCTCTCTTGGTACAGTGGCTTTCCAAACCCAGCTTTGGTGACATTATGCCATAACCTGGTGCAGAAACACCACCTCCACAGATTTCTTACTCTGGCACTTAAGCCTTCCCAAAAGTCAGTGGACTCTGGCTCATGCAATCACACCTCAAGGCTCCAGCAACTGGATCTTGCCCTTTGCAAACACACCCTCTGCTTTCCTTCTTTCCTTTGCTCATGCTTTCCCCTTCCCCACACCCAGGCTCCCTCCCCAGCTCCACTTATAAAACTTGTTTTTGGTCTTTGGTCAGGGCTCACGTGTAAGACAGAGTCCCTCTGTGCTGGCACTGCACTAGCCCTGTAGATGTGTCACTGCACTACATCAAACCTGTGGGGTGGCAAGTAAAACACACTGTCCAGCAAGGAGGCCAGGGAGACTAGGTACAAATGCAAGGCTGCCTGACCCCAGAATTATGCCTTTAATTACATTGGGGCTGGGGATCAAACCCACACCTCGAACATGGTAAGCACTCACATATGCTAAGGACATGCTCTACCACTGAGCTACACTCCCAGCCTGGAGTTATGCTCTTAAATGACCTGGCCATGCCATGTCCCTCCTGTGCTGGTTTCTCAACCTCAGCACTACTGGTATTTTGTGCCAGCTAATTCTTTGAGGGCTGTCCTGTGCAGGTAGGCCATTAAGTAGCATCCTTGACCTCTACTCATTAGATTCCATAGCACTTATTCCCCTCCCCCAAACTTAGAACAATCAAAAATGTCTGCAGAGTTTGCCCAATGTCCTCTGTGGGTAAGGGAGTACTATCAGTCATTGTTGAGAATCACTGCTCTACCTGAAAGGCTGGTCACTGGTACAGTACTACATTCTGTCCAATGTGGAAGTTACTTGACTGCCATTAAAAATAAATCATCGCATGCAGAACCTGATCCAGAATACTCTTATATACTGCATAACACTTTCAGACTACATCAAAAAATCTCAGAAACTTGTCCCAGGCTCTGCCTTAGATCTGGGGATAGGCCCAGGATGTGTATTTGTAACGAGTTCTTTCTTTGGAGCATTCTAATGCACAGGTACCTGGGAAACAATTCTACAGACACTCCTAGAACAGATTTAAAACATTGGCTATAGTCTTGGAATGCAGAGGTCTAGATCTTTTGCCAGGAGTTTTTATACATATTCTATCATATAATGTCACATCTTTCCTTGTAATGCCACACGCTACTGACCTTTAGTGTTCAGGGGTTGCTTGGTGACAATAAAGAACAAGGATGAACAAGTTCAGCCAAGTGTAAAAATCCCCAGAAGAGAAAACTCACTGTGGATGATTCCCCCAGGCCTTGAGAGGCTTGCTATGTGTCTTCTTTGGGCAGAGCAAAGTGAGTTGACCTTGTCCCTCTGGCTCACAGACAACACTCAAGGCCTACTGCTTCTACCCTTTGGCTCCTGAAATAACGATAAGTGGGCCCAGACAGCCTGTTGTGATCTTTCCCGAATGGCTGGGCATGCTAGCAGCTCTTAGCTCTACTGTCAGCACAATCCTCTCTGTCTGGAATGTCAAAGCACCTCAGTGCTCTGGTAGAGTTCAATCATCTGTAGGACACAAATATTTGGCTTTGGTACCAGGTCTGTCAACTAACCAGCTGGGAGGCCTTGGGCATGCTCTTCCTTGCATGGCATGTTCCTGTCCTTTCTCCTTAGGAACATTTCATACATGTCCAAGTTACTGCCATTCCTTTGTATATGCCAGCCTTGCTCAGAAAACGCCCAGGGCCCATGCCACAGAGGCATACTATTTAGGCAGAAATCAGGAAAGGAGCCTTGTGTGTGCAGATCCAGCAAGGGGCTTGTGGCTCTACTGTTTTGTGGCCCCTCAACCCCCTTTCTTAAGAGAGCAGAGGACAAATAGGCAAGGGGTTGCTGGACAGAAAGACTGACTAGCCGGCCCTGGGGAGGCCTTCTGTTTCGGGTGTAAAGATGAGGTACAACAGTCCCTCAACTGCACCTAGAAGCAGAAGACAGACACTCCAAGCCCACACACTTGTCAGATCCTTGACAGAGTGGATAAGGCCAAGTGTGAATGTCTCGCACATCACAAGGTACAATGTGGTTGGTCTTGATGTTGAACATAATTCCAGACATAACCCTAACATCTTCAAAACATCTGGTTTGAACCATCAGTAAACAGCAGCACTGGCCCACCATTCTGGCTAAACCAGAGTGGCTGCCACCTCCACCTGGTCCCTTCAGGGAGCTGTTCAAGACTGGTCCAGCCCATGTCTTGTAGAAGGCCTGGTCAGTGAGTTTCCAGACAGTGTGAGGGAGAGTTGGGTCTGCTAGATGGGGGAATCCCATAGCTGGGAAAAGGGATGATCTCATCCTTGTAGTCTGCCTGCTATGTGCCCTCTGTACTTTTTCTCCCCAGGGGCCCATGGGTTACCCATAGCTGGCTGACACACTATGATAAAGATGTGCTAGGTGTCACCCTGGACTAAGCCCATCTGACCTGACCATGGCCTGGCATAGGCCTCTGGGAGAATGTGAAGGAAATGGTCACCACCCTCCCCAGTCAGTGGGCCACACCTTTGCAGTAGGCAAGATGAGATCAGGCTGTCTGCAACCCTTCTCCCTCTGGCAGGTGTGCAGGGAACACCTACACCTCGACTCGCCTCCTGTCCCTTGGTCCTGCTCTAATCATGGCCCTACAGGCTGCCTTCCATATGTTCCTGGCATCTCAAAGGATGTGCACTCACAGGTGACACCATGAAGGCTCTCTCCCAGCACTTCCAGTGAGTTTCAAGGGGTCCCTGACGGCCCCCAAGCCTGTTTCTTCACCTGTAACTGGAGTATCACAACTGACCAACGAAGAGATAGTCCTCACACTTATTCCCCTCAGCCATGTCTATCCTTTGGGGATACACCAACTATTATTTGACCTCTTGGGACAGCTGGGGAACCTGCTCTTTGGGACTCATTATGCTCTGAGGCTCCCAGTATCCAGACCCTGGCCGCACTCAGGCCCAGGCTACATCAGGCAGAGGGGAGGGACAAGTGTGGCCAGGATGTCAACTCTTTTTGGCTTTCAATATTGAGCTACTTGTTTTAACCCTCATCAGCCTGAAGTTGCCCTTTGACTTCTTGGAGTGTTCTCTGGTTTGTCCTATGAGGACGAGTGGAGGATGCTGGGAAGCTGCTGTGTAGGGACCCACCCCATTCTGAAGAATTTAGGCTGGGGACTGAGTGTTCAGTCTTGAGGGGTGTACTCAGGCAGGGAATCTGACTTGGTGGAATCAAAGCAGTTCTCCTCTTGTCCTCTCTGTTGCCCTTTGAGGGACAGTGTCCCCAAATGGAATTGGGCTGGATGAGGAAGCAAGCCCAAGTGTGAATCCTAACTCTCCAACTGACGTGCTGTGGGGCATTAGGCAAATCAGGCAATATCCCTGAACCTCAATTTCAGCACCTAAGTGTGGGCTCACGTTTGGGTTGGACTATGCAGGTCATGTGGAACCCTGTTTCACAGAGCAGTGGGGAGACGGGGCTGTGCGGGACTGTGCAGGGCTGTGCACAGGAAGCAGGCAGGACATGGAAGGGGGTGTTAACTGAGGGAGTCACCTTGTGTAGACTGAGACATGATGCAGTCACATCTGCGGTGCACAGAAGCCTTCCCTGGAGTGGAGAATCTACCTGTTCTCATGAAAAACTCAGATTGTTCACTAGAAAAGGGCAGCGTTACTACTTCTCCCTCCCTGCCCTATACCACATCTCTGGCTGCCCCTTAGTGCTGTGGAAGAAGAAGCATTGATGCTTAGAGCTGGACAGGGCTGAAAGATGGCTCAGCTATAATCCTAAGTGTGAATAAATGGCTTCTCTGGCACATTTTTCACTCACGTGAGAGAGGAAAAGGATACTCCCTTCTTTGCTTTTCTCCTGGACATTCTCCATGCCGGGCAGAGCCGATGCCACACGTCTGAAGAGCTGCCAAGAAGGGGAAAATGCAGGGTAAGCCCCACCCCTCGTCTTCCCCTCCACCCTGTTGTGTCTCCACCCTCTCATTTCTCCTTGTCTTTTCTGCCAGACAGTGCCCTCATGGGCAGGGCTGCTCCTAAACTCTCTGCTACCCCTCCCCACCTGTGCCTCTCCCAGAGCGGAGCCCTGGCAGGGCTCAGTGTGTGGAAGGAGAGAGCAAAGCCTCAGCAGGCTGCCTACAGGGTCACTAGCAGCGAGCTTGGGTCATAGTAGAGACTGAAAGGGAGCTATTCTGGTGCAAAGAATGATCCAGCCCCCCCTGTATTCAGGCCCTTAGGTGGGCTTCTGCTGCTGCTCTCATAGGGACTGGTCATAGGAAGCCAACTTGGTCCTGCCTTTAGGACAAACAACTCTCTCCAGAAGAGTCCTATGGTCTGCAGGCACTGAGGCAGGCGACAATGGGAGCCAGGGCCACAGTCAAGAGGGACATGGGAGTGTGGACATAATACTGTGGGGGGGGTGTGGATGTGTGGATGATGTGTACATGGTATGTGTGTGCTGTCTGTAGGGGTATGTGTAGAATGCTTGTGTATGGTGTGAGTGGCAAATGTGTGCATAAAAGCATACAGGGGAATGTGTGTGAGTGCAAGTGTGAACAGGGGGTGTTTTATGTGGGTCTGTGCAAGTGTAGGGAAAGGTGTATTTGGTGTGTGTGTATGGATGAGTGGGTTTTCTATGCATGTCTGTGTAATTGTGGGCATATTGGGTGGGGGTGGGCTGCAGGGATGTGCCTGGTAGGGGAGGTGCTGGCAGACATGAAATCTTGGAGGTAACAAGCACAAAGCGGTACCATAAGGCACCAAAGACCCCAAACTTCTATGGTCTGAATGTGTGCATCCTTCCAAAATTCATCTGTTGAAACCTATGTGATGGTATTACAGGTGAGGCTGCTAGGAGGTGGCTAGCATGAGGGCAGAGCCCTCGCGAATGGATTAATGCCCTTATGGATGAAGCCCAAGGGAGCCTGTCCCTTCTGTTTTTGCCCCTTTGATGTGACTGTAGAAGGTATCATTTTCCAGGAAACATGCCCCCACTAGACACTGCCACCACCTTGATCTGAGACTTCCCACTCCCCAGAACTATGAGAATTAAATTTGTTGTTTTTAAGCCACACTGTCTATGGTGATTTATTACAGCTGTTCAAATAAACAAATAAATGAATACTGCCCCTCTCTCCGTAAATAACAACTGCAGGAACTCAGTGGGCTCTGAGCTTAGCGCCACTACAAGAGCTTCCTAAGGACAAGGTGAGTCTGACTCCTGGCCTTACCCCAGGGCCCAGCCCTCTCTGAGCACCTGGCTGGGTGACAAGGCTAAAGGTGGCCAGGGCCCTGGAGAGCCCAGCAGAGGCTGGGACCCCACAGGGAGTCTGCAGGAGTGTGAACATGGAGGGCAAGCGCGCTTTCCTCCATGGCCTGGCCCAGGCAGCCCCACTCTGCCTATCAAAATGGTCATAGCCTCTGCCAGTGGCCAAACCACCAGTCAGCAGGACCTTCTTGGGGTCAGGTGTGGGTCTCTGTGAGCACACACAGTCATGTTTGGTGTGGAGGAGTCTGTACTTTACAGAGACCCCATCTCTGAATCCCACGGGTTGGAACCGACCACATTTACCTTCCACTGAAACCACTGCTTGGGTTCCAGACCTTTCTGGGATGAAGTCAGGGGAGTCAGCACATCTATGGCTGGCCTGACACCCACAGAGGCTGGCAGGGGGTGGATGGGGCTGTGGGGAGGGCACTCTAACAGGGCAGAGGAGACTGAGCCCCAGGAGATCTACAGTCTCCTTAATGTCACCAGTGTCCTTTTGACTCTCTCCCTTCTTGCTCCCCTGCCACCACTCCTTCTCTACTGCCAGCAGCACCATCCACCCAGGGTGAACCATCACTGTACCCAGAAGGGGTAACCAGGCAGTACTGGTGGTGGGGGTGGAAAGGATACCATACTAGGCCAAGCTCCTCACATGGTACCCTGCCTATGTCATAGCACCCTGGTGCCAGCCTCTGATCCATGCTGCCCCTGCCCAGAATGCCTCCCTCCTTGACATCTCCCCAAGTCCTCCTCAATCTCAAAGCTGGGCCATCTTCACCTTGGCATAAGACAAGGACCTCTTTGGCAGTCTAGTGAAACCTAGGGTCTCCTTTTAATGTGTAAAATTGGGCTGGGGATTTAGCTTGATTACATGGAATTCTGAAGGAAAACATTTGGTGCTGAATTAAGCTTCCAAATATTTAAAGATGCAAATTTGTGACACAGTGACACTTGGCCTTCCTTACAAACATATTAAACAGCAAGAACCAGCAGTAGGGGGCCAGAGGTTTAGCTCAGTGGCGCCAGTGCCTGCCTGAGTTCGATCCCTGGTTCTGCAAAAAAAAAAAAAAAAAGAACCAGCAGTAGGCCTAGTACCTACTGCGATACTAAAGTAGTTATTCGTATAAAGTTCAACTGTCAATGACAGAAAGCAGTAAGAAAACACCTGTGATTTCTGTCAATGAGAAAGCCATGGCACTGATGCCTACAGTTGTCACTGAAGAACATGCTACACAAGTTACAGGCCAGTGACTGGAAAAGCGGGACTTCTCTATCCCAAATTGCTGACCTGCTGAATCCTGTCCTTGGGCTACTTGGGGTGTGTGGATCTGGGCTAGGCAGGGTGCTTGGAGGCTCAGCCCTAAACTCCACCTGCTCTTCCTCCTGTGAGCTCAGGCCCACCATAATAGGCTCTTTGCTCCAAGCCTGAGTTGCCCTCCATGGTCCCAAGCACTTGTCAAGTCCGAGGCAGGAGCCCAGGATGCTGATGGGATTAAATTTTTGCACCTCTTATCCAAAGTGAGACAAGATGCCAGGAACTATGGCTTCCCTCAGGCACTTGGGAGTCAGTGCTGGACATGTACACAGCAGGGGCCCAAGACTGGTCACTGCTGGGGTGGCCAGTGACTGACACTTTCCTGAAAGCCCCCGAGGGGCTTTCCCCTCCTTTCATGTGCTTTGCAGCTCTGGACGTTCTTTGCATCTTCCCCAACTGGGTAGGTTTATGGGTTCTCTGGTTGGCTTCCCCAACTCAGGCCAGGGCAAGCAGGTCCTAGCCTGAGGTCGACAATGTCCAGAAGCCACTCATGGGCCTCCGTGACCCAGTCATGCAGGGCCAGCGCTAGGCGTGCCCTCACCTGCTTCACATTGTAGCCAGTCTTCGCGCTGGTCTCAATGAACATAACACTCAGTTCTTTGGCACGCTGCTCCCCTTCCTCGATAGTTATCTGCCTGGAGATGAGGGGGAGAGGGCAATCAGTTCTGAGGAGGAGCAGCTCCTGGCAGAGGTGGAGGAAATAATGTGAGATGAGGCAGGACGGACTGGCAAGACAGAGGGAGCCAGTCCTGAACACAGGCTCCAAGCCTGAGGTTCCCTCCGAGGGTTCCAACCAGAGTCTTCCCAAGAGGAATGGGGCAGCAGGCACAGAGGACACCAGCCCTTCCCCTATTCCTTCCACAGTGGCTTTCTGTTAAGAGGCAGGCCTGGGGCAGGCTGTGCCATACCAGTGTTCCCAGAGGTCACTAGAATAGCAGCCTACAGCTGTTCACAGCTTCCAGCCACATACTCCCTCCCTGGGTGGTACTGTAAGTCCCTTTTGTCCAAGGCAAACACCAAGGTTAAAAGTAACTCCCCCATGCTGGGCATGATGGTACATGCCTGTAATTCTAGCCCTCTGGGAGGCTGAGGCAGGAAGATCACAAGTTCAAGCCCAAACTGGGCAACTTAATGATTTAGCAAGACCCTGTCTCAAAATAAAAACATTTAAAAAGAGCTGAGGATTCAGGTCAGTGCAAAGGCTCTGGGTTCAACCCAAAGCACAAAAATCAAAAAACAAAAACAAAGAAGTAACACACACAAGGCCACAAAGCTACTTAGCAAAGGAACTGGGGTCAGAGCCCACTTTCCTTATCTCAAGAATGAAATTCTCACCAAGTAGACCCTGACACACTGTGGGAAGCCCTTGTGCTTTGTTCGCTTTATCTGCCCAAGTCAGAGTCTATGAGAAAAGTAGACAAACACATGGAAGGACTCTGGTCGGCTGTGTCCAGAAAGGAAGTCTTGGAAAAGGCTCTTCCAAGGCAGCTTCATACCCAGCAACAAGCCAGGCTGCAAAGGCTGGGCACAGGGTTGTGTTCTACACGTTCTGTAGACTCGAACCTGGGACCAGGGTGCACACACGCCACACACCAGTGCAGGCATTTAAGAGGCAGGGGTATGAAACACAAGTAGAACTCCTGGGGCCAGAGTTTCTACTCTGTGCCATGATCACTGTCGACCAAGACCATGCACTGCTGGGCTGGGCCAGGCTCACAGGGCGGTGTGCAGATTGCTCAGTGCCCTGTTCCTGGGCAGTGGCTGACAGGGGTCTCAAGAGATGACATACCCACAGAGTGTGCAGGGGTCCTACCCGGTGTTCTCACAGCTCCTGTGGACGGTGATGGTCCAGAAGCAGACTCACTACCTATGCATCCAGAACTACTGATCAGGGGCAGTCACAGAGAAGCGGGGAGCAGCTGGGCCTCTCAGCCCTGCACTTCTGTGCCCCAGCGCCTACCTCTTGTCCGCCAGGTCCGTCTTGTTGCCCACCAGCATGATGATGACGTCACTGCCCCTCTCTGTCCTGACGTCATCAATCCACTTAGAGGTCTGCTGGAAGGAATTAAGATCTGGAGGCATAAAGTAAGGATATACTGTAAGTGAGGGCTGGCCCCAGAGGGGCGTCAGGAGGAGGAAGAGGGGTGGGAGAGCCTGTACTCTGACTCCTGGGACAGGGCAGCACTGTCCACACAGACCAGGCCAGCTGGGAGCTGAGGGGAGCAGCTGCCCTCCAGGGAGCCTGGTGAGGAGCTGAGAGGCTGGCTGACAAATCACAGCTGGTTCTGCCCAGGGACTAGCACATTCTCCTACCCTGACATGTACGTACACACACAAACACACACACACACACACCCCAGCCAGGACAAGGCAGGGGCAGAGAGACTAGAGCCAGGCTGGCTTCAGCAACTCAGCATCTGCCCTACTCTTTTGGGGGACACATGTGTACATGAGCACATAGATGCGGGCCTGGCCAGGGTCGCACCTGGGCCCTGGAGCCCCTGACAGGAACCTCCCTTCAAGCACAGACTCTCATCACTTACTTGTGATGTCGTACACCACCACAGCCACTGTGGAGTCCCGAATATAGCTGGGGATCAGGCTACGGAACCTTTCCTGGCCAGCTGTGTCCCAAAGCTGCAGTCGAACCTGCAGGGCCGGAGTAGAGGGGTCAGTGAGGCAGTGAGCTCCTCCTGGTCGAGAGGGCTGAGGAACATCTCTATGATGCTGGCACCACCAGTTCCGGCCCCCAGGCTTGGCACAGACTCTCTGGGGTGCCTAGCTAAGGGTCCCAAGAAATAAGCCCGATGGAGCCTCCCCTGTCCTCCCCGTTCTAAAATCAGGTGCTTACCGTACGGTCCTCCAAGTACATGGTTTTTGACAAGAAGTCAATCCCAATGGTTGCCTGTTAGATAAAAAAAAAGGTCAAATTGGAAAGTTTTGCAAAGCAAGGGGGCAAAAGCTCAGTGGCCCCAGGCAGAGGAATAAACCAGCAAGAAGGGACACCCACGCTAAGTCTGATGTAGGCTCTGCACTCAACATTCCTCTCAGACAAAGGGAGCTTGCACTAACCAAGGGCAAGAGCAATATTTTAGGGAGGGATACTCTTTGGAGTGGAAGACAAAAATGCTCTGGAAATGGTGACAGTGCGTGGGGGTACACAGAAGAGGTCCCACCCAGAATAGCAAGGCTGCTACAATGTTCATCCCTGTCCCCCCTCAGGTGGGGCCCCCCCCTCAAATCCCCTAGAGTTCCCAAAACCTTTCCTCTGAGTCCTAGAACACAAGTTTGGGCTCACCACTGTCTCAAGAAAGATCTTGTCACTGTAGTGAAACACAGAGCAGCTGGCTGGCCTCTGGTGACAGCACTGCAGACTATACAGAACAGCATCTTGCCGGACACCCCACTGGTTCTCTTAAGCCATGCTGGGAGTTAAGTGTCAGCAGCACCCCTGTGCCACACCTGTGCCACACCTGTGCCTCTTCTATCCTAGCATCTGGGAGAGGCAGCCAGTCTTGCAACCAGATCACTGAGACCCGTCACTCACTTGCTGTGTGGCCTCAGCCAGGCCACCCAACCTTGATGGGCTTCATGTGCACGCAGCGTCATGAGCAGGAGCTAAGATGCCATTGTTGTCAAATGGAGCCATCATTGCTGCGTCATTAACAACAGCAAAACTCAGTCTCAGATTGAGTGTTTAGGTCACTGATTAGATGCAGTGTGGTCTACCGCATGATTAGAATCCTTGCAAGCAGTTCAAAACCATGTTCTTGAAAAGAATTTAAGGATTTGGGCAGTCACTGAGTGAAAAAAAATACTGTAAGACATTATGTGGAGTGTGACCCCAATTTGATTAACTGAAGTAGATACGAGTATTCTTTGTATTTTCTTCAACACTGAAGTATTGGGATACACTTTGTACAAGTGTCTGAATAGTGACATTATGGGCAATTTTTTGTTCCCTTCATTATACATTTTTCTATTTTCTACCATGTACATACAGTTCTAAAATTAGAAGGAAAGGTCTTTTGAAACAAAAATGTAGTTTAAATTAAGTTTCAAAGAGTAGAAAAGTGGTATGAATTCTAACTACAAAAAATACAACCAAGGAAGGCCCACAGAAATAGAAAAGCTCAGGTTTCCAGGGCCCCAGTGTGCACCGTGTGTGTGTGTGTGTGTGTGTGTGTGTGTGTGTAGGCCTGCACACTAACAAAATCACATGCCCAACACATTCCACAAAGCACTGAACATGGCTGTGTCCTCCTGGAATTCTACTTTAATGCAGTGGAGAGCTCCATGTTAGGGAGAGTTGTTTTACACGCTAGAACACACAATTCAAGAATATGCGTACTAGGCACAAACCTTAGACACAAGCCAACCCAATCCAACCCAATTACTTTGGAGATAAAGAGTAGACCTGGGAAGTTAAACAACAGGCCTAGTGTGGCTCTGTTAATCTGTGACAGTGCTGGCAGGGTCAGCGCTGAAAGCTGGGCAGCACTTGAGCTCTTTGTAGCCCAGTTGTGCAGTGTCCTGTCTAGCAGAGCTAGCAGGGAACAAGTCTGTAACTGGCAAATGCTGTGGACACAGCCTCACTCCCGAGCAGTCACACACTATTTCTTTCACTGGTGGTTCTTGACTGGCAGACTTATCTTCTCACACCCTTAAGGAGATGTGCAGAGCAGCGAGAAATGTCTCAACTCATCAATGGTCACCAGGCTCCCAGGAGTGCCAAACTCCTTCTGTGGAGTGACTCCTGAGCCAAAAGCACATTCATGGGCTTGGGACTAGAGGCAGAGACTGCCAGGTGTCCCCAGTGTACAATTTCAGATGTGTAAAAGGGCTCGTGGCTGTGACAGACTGTATTTTCAAGCTTTCTTTGTTGCTGAGTGGCTAAGATCCGGTCAAAGGATGTACACATCTCCTGGGATGGGTCTTTTGTGGGTGGATGTGCCCACAGCTGCCTCCTTTTGCTGGATCCTCCAGATGAGGATGACAGAGCAGTGATGGCAGATTTACAGAGCCTGATCCACTTATCCTGAGAATATATCCGAGAAGTACTGGATACCCAGATTGTGTATGACACAGACTTCATCCTCTGTTTTGTTTAAGCCACTGTCATTTTGAGTTTCTATTAACATATCGTAATTATACTCTAACTAATAACAAAGAACCATGGAGAATCATATTCCTCAAAGGTCAGCACCTGGATGGTGACAGAACTGCTACTGATTAAGTATAACAATAACTCCATTTCACTTCTGCTTCCATGACGGACAGAGAAGCAACCAGATGACAAGAAATTATCCCAGTGTATCAAGCCCCAGAAAAGCTCAGTACAGTGGCCTCCATAATTAGAAACACCATTTACTGCACACCCACATATCACATCTCTATTACATCTTATTATATAGCCTGACCAAAGAGGTGACAATAAGGAAAACCAGGCTAAAAGAGGCCAACTTCTGATTTCTCCAGCTCCCTCCTATCTTTTTTTTTTCATTTTTTAAAACATTTTCATATTTTATTGGTACATTTTAGGAATGCAATATAATGACATTCAACCCTGGAAATTTGCACCTTTACATAATCTCTCTTGGTTCTTATGTTTTCCCCCTTCCCCTGCCTTCCCTTCAACCCCTCCATCCCTCCCTATTTACAAAGACTTTGTTTCCATTTTTCCATTTTCTCATATTAATTCCATTCCCTTCTTTTCTTTCCCCTAACCCTCCCATTTCCCCTTCCCCTTTGCCCGTTTTCTTCCTATTTCACATTATCTATTATACCTTTTAGTCCTTATTTACACTTTTAAGTTTCTCACACTACAGAAATTTCAGTATTTACACGTGTCCTATTTATTTCACTTAAGAATATCGCCTCATTGTGCATCCATTTAGCTATAAATGTCTCTAATTTTTCATTTTTTATGGCTGAGTGCTACTCCATTTTATTAAAAAAAACCCCACATTTTCTTTATCTAGTCTCCAGTTGATGGGCAACTGGGCTGCTTTCAAGTTTTAGCTATTACAAACTGTGCTGCTATGAACATGGGCGCACATATATCACTGTGGTATGATACTTTTATTTCTTTGGGATAGATATCCATCAGAGGAATAGCTGGGTCAAATGGGACTTTCAGTCCAAGTTCTTCGAGGTATCTTCATATTGATTTCCACAGTGGTTGCACCAGTCTATACTCCCACCAGCAGTGGAGCAGTGTTCCTCTTTCCCCACAGCCCCACCAGCATTTGTTATTGGTTGATTTCCTCATAGCAGCCATTCTTCCTAGGGTGAGGTGGAATCTCAGCATTGTTTTCATTTGCATCTCTCGAATGACCAGTGTTGTTGAACGTTTTCTCATATGTTATTTGCTATTTCTACTTCTTTGTCTGAGAAATGTCTGTTCATTTCAGATGACCATTTTTGGATTGGGTTTTTAAATTTGGGAGGGCTGATCTTTTTAAGTTCTTTATAGAGTCTAGATAGTAGACCTTTGTTTGAGGAACAGCAGGTGAAAACTTTTCCCACACTGTATATTGTCTCTTCACACTGTTGTGGTTTCTCCTGCTGTGCAGAAGCTTTTTAGTAAGAAGAGATCCCCCTTGTTGATAGTTTGTGCTAGTTCATGGGCAACTGAGGTTTTGTTCATAAAATCTTTTCCTACACCAATGTCTTCAAGAGTTCTACCTAACATCT